AAATGAAAAGAAATATGGTAAAACGGTTATTTTGGAAACAAGATCTGTTTCATTATTTCTCGATAGAACACACGTCATGGATTATTGTGTATGGATTTGATATGCTGGTGTGTTACAAACTAGAATACATAAAATAAAACCTCATTTTCTCCACCCATTTCTATTTTTCTTTATTTCGGTGCATTTCCATCTATTCATATATTTTTGTGTTATTTTCAGATACTTATAGCTATAATTGTAAAATATTACGCATTTTGATCACCTTTACTCTCCTGTTAGAATGGCTGTTCTATTAAGTCTAGAATGGATATATGTTCTTCAAAATATATCAATTATGTGGTAGTTAATCTTGTTTTGCAACAATCGAACTCACAATAGTGAATACTGTTGGAATGGTTAGATTCGTAATAGAGAGTATGGCAGTAGTATGTAGAATGCAAAATCCATCATTTCTATTTGACAAGTGGATTATTGTATTGATTCTCTGTTGATACTTCGATTCTCTTCTGTCACAATGACCATCCATATTGAGTACAAAGAATGATATTGCAGAGAAAGGAATGTGGTTCATAGATTGAAATGGTGAATAGGAATCATAGTATCATTAAACAAAACAATCGATTGAAATGATCACAGTTTACTTTTAGGTTTTCATGCTTTTCGGCACAATCTTATTTTAATTCACATCGAACAACAATGTACGTCGCTGCTTGCGACCGTATCAACAATCTCAATTATTTTCTGTTTCATGTTTAAACTGAGGTCGTCAATGACCTAATCATATCTTGGCACGAAATTCACTCAAACGCCAATACTATCTGGACACGATAATATAATACCGATAAACTCACTTTCGGAAAGATCTGTAAAGTTAGACTCATTTACACCCTCAATCCATTTTTTATCATCCATCAAACCTATCGATTTCGTTATCGGCATTTTCAATGTCCATAGAACGTATTATTTGAGCAAACAATAAAAAACAAGAATGTAAAGTCATAAATATCCTCAAACCGCTTTCTAGTGGGCATTTTACAAATGAATTCTGTGTAGGTCTGCTATTTGCAATCAGATGGCCAAGCGCCATAATGCTTCTCCATCCCCACTTCATTCGACGTATCCTAGCAATCCGAAATGTCACAATTCCCATAATCAATCCGATGAATGTTTGCTTGTATGTTCCCCTTGCCTTTGGACCAAACAAAAGCAACCATGATCCGAATCTCCGATTCGATTCTACTATTCCGCATTCTCTCTGTGTTTTCACGTATTGTATAATATCGTAAAGAGTCAGAAGCTTATAAAAACGATTTCCAGAACATCAAGATGAAATAAAACGAATTGCCCACAAATAAGAACACGGTAATTACCAGTAACTCTGATTTGCCCTTCTATATGTTCGATAAGCCAGTCATGGATTTGTGGGGATGTATACCGATCATGAAGAAGATTCAAAGTGATTACAATTATTCCAAGAGAACCATAAGTGGTGAATTGGCACATGCGTTGTGCCGCTCAATCATCTGTGGAGGCACTCTGTTCCCTTCAGATGAATGAAAAAAAGAAAAGAAGGATCGCCCAATAAGTACACATGTTAAGTTTTATGAGTAAAAGAGAAAGATAAGTATAAGAATCATTTAAATTTTACCAACCGAAGTAGCTGTTCAAAGTGAACTCACTACAGAATGAAGTACATACGAGACAATTATTGCTAAAGTAAATCAGAGCTTTTTTTCATATTATTGTTTAAGTGTAGGGAATGCAGTAAACCCTTAGGTCTACACAAGGGTACATTTGAGGAAGATAAAGTCTGCGATAGGAAAGTACAGAACAAACATACCTTATATGGTTAAAGACCAAAATACACATCACTAGGCAAGTAAGATTCACATTCGATTTGATTATCTGTTCATTAATCAACCCTTGTTTTTGGTTTATTCGCCTCGCAATCCATACAGACAGCAAAGGAGAAATAGTCTACTTTTCCATTGGAGAACATGATCATCTTTATTTAACCAGAAGCATGATATATAGATATGGATATAGATATAGATAGATAGACAGATAAATGGCTCTATAGGCTCATCGCATTGTTGACCATTTTCATTTGATAAAACTCCTGCAATGTCATTATTTGACTATAGATTTAATTTTAATAATGATCACCATAGTCTCTTTACAGAATACAAAATCAGGAAATGTAATGCAATACTAATGTGAAATATATGAGCAATTCATTTTCAATATCATTTCAAAATCTTGATTTAGTAATGAACTACTATGAAAATTGTATTAATAACTTCTAATTGTTTCAATTTTTAATTGATTGCTCATTTCTCAATTCAATAGGTACTGTGATTACGCTTTAATGTTTCCTATACTATACAATATCTAAGAAAATGATTGTGGTACACAGTTTAACGAATTAATGAAACTACAAAATGAATCAACATCATTCCACATCGTGAATTGTGAATCATTGGAATGAGTTCAAATTGGAAAATATAGTTTCAGTGACTGTGAAAAAGTATAATCAGTGAAGAATTCAGTAAATTTAAAACAATTAAGTTCTATGTTTTATGACATTTTGAATACTATTATTATCGGAGTTCTAGTATAGGGTAATACTATAGAATGAATCGTTTGTTGAAAATACGTATCATCGTTTTTTACAATCGATTGAAGAGGGATTGGATGCATTATATCAATTAGCATTAACAAGAACCGAATATATATGAATAAGAATAATGTATTATTGCCTTGTCTTCCCTAATGAGAATTATCCTATATAAACTCTATTCTTCTGAATAAAGAGATGATGATAAAAATGTGGTTTTGATATAACTAGTTATTCCTAAAGATGACAAAAAGTGTATCAATATTTATTCATCACTCGTGATTAATAATGGCTGGATATCTGGTGAATCCTGGCTTAATAAGATAAGAAAGTACAAAATCGATTGAAATGAAAAGAGATAGAAGAGATATTCCAACCATAGAAAATGGATATTAAATAATGGTGATGAACGTAAACTATTGAGAATGAAACATGATAACACATATAATATACATACATTTGCGATTACATTGACAAATTTGTGTCATATACATATGCTACTCTTTTCATTATGTATACTAGTATAACTCCGATAATAAGCGAACTATAGATAAATGATTTGTATCAAATCTCAAGTAAAAAAACAAGAGTATAGAAGAGATTAACGATATTACATTATTTTAAAATAATAGAACGTGTATTGAGTACTTAAAAAGCCGAAATACAAAACAACTGGTTTTCAGGCACTCGGTGAATTTATCCATTTTGGTTTATGCACTTCTTTTGTTACATTTCGTTCATTAACCAAATATTATATACTTACATTATTTGCTTGAATAAACAATCAAGAAAGAATGGATCACTGAACTAGAGAGTTTGAATGGATCCAGTCAACACGATGTGTGTATTGGCAAACAACCCATTCAGTGTTTTCTCTGCTCGTTTCTGAAGACCGATCGCTTGTCTCCGCAACTCCGCGCGTCGCTTCATCGCTCTCTGAATCTCCGATTGCACATTCCGCTTCTTCTCCTCCATCGTCTCTACTGCCTGCTTCATCGCCTCTCTTCGTTTATACTACGCTTCACCCCTTTTCCCTCACTCCTCACTTCACTCATCAAATCGCCCGCCACTACTTTGCGGAAGCTTTCATCCATCGCTAATCGCGCTAGCGTAGCCACTGTTCCCTCCATCTCCCCAATCACGCTCTCAACCCGCTCAATTCCCTCCTCAATCTGCCCCATCGACACCGATTCAACCGCTTCTGTGCATGAGTCTATCTCTTTGTATCAAGTACGTGCGATCTCTGCATTGCAGCCAATCGCTAGAAAGTGTTCGTCAGCGCTCTGCTTCCATTCGCGGAGTCGCTCCTGAAGGAATGTCAACAAACAAAACAAATCGTCCAGCAGCTCGTTTCGAGTCTGCTGCTTTGTGAAATCGAGTTGTTGGATACAACAAAGACAAGGAAAACAATCGCAGAGCGGCGTGGCGGATTCTTTCGACTGCAAATATGCCGAAAAAGACGCGAAATACCTCAGAAGCCATGAAAACTCGGACGATAAAACCGTGGAAATCACTTTTGAGACTGCGGTGTTCAATTCGCTCGCATTCTGCTGTAAATCCGAAAGAATCGAAGCTTCGGTCATTTCGTTCGTCTATGGGGTCGACAAATAAAAAGAATAAAAAATACTTCAATATGCCATTCTTTGCGATAGGCGCTAATGGCGTCCTCCTTACGTTCAATGCTTCGTTTTTGTTCCTATCGTGAGAATTTCGCTAAGAATATTCACATTAATTCGAAGAGTAAGCGATTCACACACTCGTTCGTCTTCCTTGGTTTGACGAGTGATGGAAGGACTATTTGGAATGAAGGCAACCAGCCTATTTCATACAGCTCGTGATTCACAATTTGTTTTAGTCGAAGAGCCACATCGGCTAGATAAAGGTTGTTCGATTCGTATTTTGTGATCACTGAAGAAATAGAAGCGAGCACAGGGTCTGTATACTAGAGAGAGCAACGATGTCAAACAACATACAGATCCTAACAAGGTTTTTGTGGCCTTTCGCTTTGAACAGAGTTCCTCAAACGATTTTTTGATTTCAAAATAGTCGTCCGCTACATCATTACTCACACACCACTTATCATACGCAACGCGCTTAACCCATTCTCTTCCATCACTTTATTCATCTCCTGAACACTCAAATTCACGTCTTGAAGCTTCTTGCTCCTACTCGCTCAGCTCGCACTTTTCGTAACACTACCAGTCTTCTGGAAGCTTCCTCCGACTTCTGCACCAATCTGGAGTTCATTCCTCTCCATCGCACGCCTACCAATAATAGAGTCGAATTCAACCTCAATTTCGATCACACTCGACTATCTATCACCCCTTCCACACATCTGGTACCATGTGTCTACTTCTCTAAAATTACTTTTCTAACAAACAATTCAATGACTTCTAGAATCCGAACGACGTCTGCTTCCAGAACGGCTGCGAGAACCTGAACGGCTCGCATCACGACGTCCACTGCGGTCTCGACGGCTGGAAGAGCGGTAAGAGTGGCCGTAGCTGCGGCTGCGCGATCGGCTGCGCGATCGGCTGTGATGTCTACGACCATGGCTGTAACTGCGGCTACGATGTCTGCGGTGACGATCATAGCTACGGCTGCGATCGCGTGGCCTGAAATCAACGTTACTGGAAGGTACCTACTCTCTTCTGGGAGGGCGCGCATCAGCCATCGAGACGCGCATCGTTTGGCCGTTCAGCTCCTCGCCATTCTCGTCCAAGGCCTTCCGTGCCTCGTCCTCGTTGACGTAGCGAACAAAACCAAAACCTCTGTTTCCACCATCATGAGTATTTCGAGGAATATAGATATCAGCAATCTTTCCATATTTTTCGAAATGGTTGTTCAGATCCTCCTTCCTAGAGATTAAGATAACGAACCATAAATCGTACGTAGCATCGTTCGGAAGATTGTCAATACGAACGGAGAAGAGACTATTGACGTCAGTAGGAGGACGTGTGTTATCCATCAGATTTTTTTTGGTCAACCAGGAGAGGCTCTCTTATGGGAGGCATGGGTGGCTCTCCTTCTTTTCTCGCTACTGGAAGGATGCGACCGAGTTTCTCGCATCATTAGGATGTTTTTGACAACCCGGCTCTGTCAAGCCCACTATAGTTTCCATTTCGAATTTTTTGTTCGTTGACAGTAATTTGAAATCTTTCTTTTCCTGATTCTTCTCTCCATTTTCTCCCTATAACCATCTCGCATCTATTTACTATCTCCAACATTTTTGCGATCACCCTTTATTCATCCTTTTTCACTTTGTATTCTTTCCTTTTTGAAATGTACCGAAAGGAAGATTTGAACGAGAGAGACGGAAAATATTATGATGATGAAGGGAACGAGTGGATTCCAAGCACCCAGGTATTACTTTTCTTGGTGACTCGATTTTAGCGAGCGGATGGTACATGGAGACCTGCTCGTCGTGTGAAATCGGGGTATGTCCCAATCGAAGAGAGAAAAGTGTATCGACCTCCGATGATCGCTGTAAGTTCGAGTCTTGTGTGTCTCCCTAGATGCGTGAACGATTGAAGGCTGCAGCTTCAAGTAAAGAACCTGCTCCGAATCGCAAAGTGTCTCCAAAGCCAAATGTCGCAGTGGAATCGGTTCGTTCTTGTTCGGTTGCTTAATAATAGCGCAAATCGGACAGCAATTCTGTTTCTGAGACAATCAGCGAGCCTATTCCTGAGAAGCCTGTGTCCAGAGAAGTATCAAGAGCTGGAGATAGGAAAAAAGCGTCGCTCTCCGAAGAGGAATGCATCAAGAAGATTCGTGAATTGCGAAAGCAGCTTAGTCAGGTGGATAATCTGGTCCAGAAACGGGACAATGGTTTGAAGTTAGAGTAATTTATCAAAACGAGACTTCATCCTTAGTTTTGGTCAATTGGAGTTGGTGGAAAAGCGAATGTCGTTTGTACAGGAACTTTCTATGGTTCTATCGAATTATTTGAAGGATTCGTTGAAATTGAGCCCGGAGGAATTGACATCCAAGTTGAAACAGGAAGATTACCAAAAGTTTGTCGTTCTTGTTGAGTGGATTCGCCAATTTAAAAAGAGTTAGGAGGGAATGTATTCCTCGTAAATAAGTGATTGAACAGGAGAGACAATTTAAAAGAATAGTTGTAACAATCTACCTTCATCGTGCTTGTTCTCTCAAACAAATCTCACTTCGGTGTTTCTTTTACCGAATTATCACTACAAACTCCCGCTTCCGGAGTGGAAGCCGACTTTAACGTGGGAGACTTGATTTCCAGTTTGTCGACAAATCCTTTCAACTGGTTATGTTTCTTACTCATCCAGTTGGCTACACTGGCGCAACGATTGATATAAGCAGGAATTCCTTTACCTACAATGATCGTACACAACTCGTTCGAAAAGTTGTTGCAATTTCTACAGCTGATTCTAGTAAGCGCACTCCGCACTTTGAAATAAGATTATAATTATCACCTCGATAAGTCAAACGCATGTTTCGAATTACGTCTTTGATTTGTGCCGGAGATAAAAAAGTCTCGCCCATATCGATGGTTTCTCGATACTTGACTCCGAGCACGTTACGAGGGAGAGACGAAATGATACCACCGCCTTCTCCATAGGAGTACTCCCTTCCTAAGGGTCATACGGCTGTTTCACGAGATACCATCCACAACAACTCCCGTATGTAAAATGCCCATCCCTATACCTAGATGTTACAAACAGTGTTTGCAGCTACCGTAGAGCAAATCGTTCCTTTCAATTAGATCATACACCTAGTTCTCAGCAAACACCACTTCACAGAGTTACATTGACTTTCACTGGTCTTCCACGATAAGGTAGTGCAGTAGACATACTTTATGAAAAAGTCTTTAAAGCAAAGTCCGAAGAATTTGTTTGTTATAGCCAGGATCCTTTTTTCTCTTTCAAAAATAGATAGATTGATCGTAGTGAACAAATAGAACGGCTAAGTGTGTTGTGACCGTTTGTAAACTCTTCAAATTCTGCCGATTGCTCATATGTTTTGAAGAGAACAAGATAAGAAACCATTCGACTAAAAACCGAAAAAACGTTATTTTCGGCTCTTTGCCTCCACACTTTACAAATCGTCTGTACTCTCGTTTTTAAAAATAAACAGATTATAAAAACAACTGATTGATGAAATCGTCCATATTCTCGTTCTCTGTGTGCTCCACTTCCACACTTGTCTTCCAGACGTCGTTGGACGTGGATATCACCTCATTTCCGTCGGCATCAATCTCCTTCTTCTGCTCATTTCCCATTCTATTTGCACTAGCTTCGGCAGAATCGGATTCTGAATCGCTTTCCGAACTTGAATCTGAGCTTGAACTGTAGTGAACATGTCCATTGACAGTTTTTGGTTTCTTCTGCTTCTTCTGCTTCTTCTGCTTCTTCTGCGTCTCCTTGATCGGATTTTCATCTCGCTTCACCGATGTTTGGGAAACCAAAATCTCTCTAGACGCATTCTGTACAATGTCCTTGGAAGGAGCAAGTGGCGTTGCGGAACTCGCTTCTACTTGTCCTTCCTCCTTTAGAATCGATGTAATATAATCAAAAACGTCCTGCGAAGTCTCACAAGCTTTGCGTTTCTTCCGCAATTCAGGATGCTCCGATTCTGTCTCCCGGATTTTTCTGTGGAAAAGCTTCAATCTAATTGTAACTTGCCTCTCATTAGAATACGCGCACGGGCCGCAGAGCCGGACTTTCACGAGCGTCGAAACAACTTTTCCCTCCAAATCCTTGTAGCGAAACGGAACTTCATAAGAACATAATTCGTGCGTGTTGGTATTGTCACAGTGGAGGTTGCCACACGAAAATTGACCCTTTCCATCGATGACTTCGCGTTCTGTTCGCCAACGCATGCCGATCTTGTTGATCTCGTAATAGGTGAGGTCGACAAGCGCATACTCCTTGTATAATCGATTGTAATAACGGATAGCGAGTCGCTGCTCCCAGCTATTCCTCACAAAACCACACCTTCTCTACTTTTGTGCTTTTGATGCGTCGGATTCCATTATAAAGTTATAGTTACGCGCAATAGCGTCACTGTCCGTAATCGGACCTGTCACATTTTTCGGATTGAGCTGCCGCTTCATTTCTGCATATTCCTTCATTAGTTTTCGGTGCTTTGAGAGTAGATCTTTTCCCTCATCGCTATGATTCTATCTTATAAACACTTCTCCCAAATTATACTCTAGAATGATGATGGCGATGACGATGACGGTGGCGATGACGATCGCTGCTCGTGTCCACCATATCTCATCCAACGACGACCAAATAGATTTTTGTGTATTCACGTATTATAGTCACAACGATGGTATTGAATGGCTACTGACGATCTTATGCATTAGGACCCTCAAGAACGAGAATATCCAAAGATGTGGCTATTTCAACGTAAACATATTTCTGATCCAATTCTGTACACGAAAAGAGAATAATTAATCAATAGAAAGGATTATTTGATCAAACGAGCATTTGTAGAGTTTATCACGCCTTTGGGGGAAGCCCAAATTGGAATCAATCCTCGGTTTAACGAGCAGGATGAGGATGAGTTTCGATTACAAGATGTACTCTGTTTGTCTTTGTTCTTGTCTAGAAATGTTTGTATAGTCGTGGTCAACCGTCTCAGACCAAAGTATCACGCAAAATACTCGTGTACACGTTTCTAAGTTTGGCATTCGTCAATGTCGGCACTCTTGTGGGTCTGCTTGTTTCAGCGACTGTTAACCGTGAATATTCGAGCTACCAGCGCAATGTCTCGTACTTCATCGTGATCGTATCGTTGCTTCTAACGATCTACGGGTCGTACGCGATGCAGCAGCAGTCGTTAAACCACTTGACAATGTTTTTTTTAGATAGGAGCGAAATCGAATTTAGATATACCTCAGTGAACTTGGGCGTGTCTGTGATTTTGTTTCCCTTGTCTCCCACCCCGATCTATTTTGTGCACTTTTTCTTTGAATTGCTTCTCATTTACATCGCATATCAGCTCAAATATCGTCTTGTGTGCAAATTGACAACTTGTGAATTGTAGGACGATTTGTGGTTTATCCCTTCATCGACCGAGATTTCTGGCCAAATCGTGTTTTAAATCGTGATGGGGCGTCCTCTTATTTTTTCCTATTGTTTGTTTTATCAATGCATGAAATGAAAAATGAAGACCCGAATCAGCAGAAAGAGTCGTTTTTTGAGAAGCATTCCTTGCCTGTCTGCATGTTTCTCGTATGTCTCGTTTTCCTCGCTTATTTTTAGCTATTTCTGATAAATTCGTTGCTGTACCATTCCCTCTATATAGAAATGTACCATACTATCTATTCCAAGATTATCGATTCAAACGAACACTCTATGAACGTCCATCACTACATTACTTTGCTGCCGTTCGATCTATTTGTGAAACATGATGGCTAGTGATCAGAGCATCTCCATCCACTCTCCATCCTCTTCAGTCGTCCTGTGCACAACCCTCTACGCTAAAGTTTGCTTTTTTGTGGTGTGTGACTGTGATAGAAGCTCGAGTATGATCATGTGGTATTCGTTCGAAGCTATGCGCTTCTTCAGCGTCATTTTCATTTCCGTATGGTTGTTTTCAGCGATTGCCCCATTATCCAGGACCTTTGTAAGAAGGCCAATCTTACCATTATTCCAACAGTCAAGTATGTTTTATGGATTTCGCGTTTTATTTCGATATAACGAGTATGGCAAGCCTGTTTTTCCGTTTATAATGAAAATAACGGAACAACTGTTTCATGCTTCTTTCTATGGGTATGTCAACGGAGATATTTTGTTATCGACCACTCTTTTCCCGCTCCTTTCCATTCTTGCAGATACTCGGAAGCAGATATTTGATACCAAACCGTTTTTAATGGCAGGGCGAGTGAATGAAGTGCCCGAGTTCAATATCGATTTCCTATCGCTGGATGGGTTCAATCGCTCTTTTGAGGAGAGCTATGCTCAAGGGAAAACAAGGAATCCCTTTTCAGCTGTACACCTAATTTCGCTCCTTGTATTTAGGATTACTTCATCTATTCCGGTAAATTGATGAGTAGTAAAACCGAGAATTACGAGAAGGTTGTTTTGGGTCGATATTACATTGATAACTGGATCATGGGAATGATTCGTCTGCATAACGGCTATTTGATAGACACAACCAAAGCAGGTACCTTTTTGAGTCTATTGTTGAAGCACAGTGCATGGAATTCACATGGGAACAGACACCTACTGGAAAAAGTCCCTGAAGAAGCCTATCGGATACAAGGACTTTTGGTACAACAAGCATATCTCAAGAAAGGACTATCCATGGGCCTCCTTGAAGAATGCAGATTTTTTGTGTTGTAGGAGAATGGAGGGAAACATTAGGGTGTAGACTGGGATGACAGCGGTCTTAGCTTGGAAGCGAATCAATCGTGTGTTTGTTGAAAACAATCAAATCGTTACAAACGGAAGCAAGAGTTCTCCTTTTCAATCTGCAACTTCTCTTCCTCCGTTAAGTCATCTAGTACCTGGAAAAAATCTCGCAACTCGTTCACATTCTTTCCGTTAATCATACTCGCCATGTATGCAGCACTACACATCAGTTGACACACCCTGTCCATTTACCAAAGCGAAATGAGAGAGTCGTTCTGTAGAGTCTGAGCGGCATACAGAAGACGGAAAATCTGGTCGCGATTCAGGTTAATCACAAGGTTCGCATCAAATTGATCCTTGACATTGTTGGCGAAGTTTTGCGTATCTGCGAGTGGCTTTGGGATAGGATCCATGGGCTTATTCACATGGTACTCCACTACGCGTTAGTTTTCGCAAAATGGCTCACAGAATCTCTTTGCAATCTCGAGAGACTCGTAGGGGATATTTGTTTGGATACTTTCACAATTGGGATCTTCCTTCAGCACAGTCTGTAGATACTTGGATGTGACGGCGACATCTTCATCGATCTCGATCGCTTGCCCTTCCTTCGATATGACTTTCACAATTCGACCCATTTTGGATAATACTCTGAGTGTTCGGGGTTTGAAGTGATCCATTTTCCAAATCAAGTGGTGTCTGTTTTAAGTTTGCCTGCTACTCTACTAAAATGGAGACGATTCGGCAAAGGAACTACCTTGTTCATTGGCTTTTGTGTGAAGATGGTCTAAAGCAGCTTTACTCTACGAAAATGGAGCCGATCGAGACCTTCTCTCTTTCTGATATACCAAAACCGGATTCATCGTCTGTAGAAGGAAAAGTCGAGTTTGGGTGTTTCCATCATCTTATCGGGTAGAACAAATACAGAGGATGTGTATCCCGAAGAACAATTGATCATTCTCTCTGAGCCCGCTTCACCCGTATGTTCTTTGGGATTGAATGGTTATAATATAGTCTGAATACAGTGCTGTGGAGTCGTTTTCGGTAGTCGTATTTTAAAATTGTGAAGAGAGATAATAGTGTGTAGAATTCGATTCAAAACGTGTTCAATGAAGAAAACATGAACACAGAAGACATTTCTACGATGAACAATCGTATTGGTGAAAGGATCACAACGGAGTGTTTGCAGCTCCCCGCTGTGCTTTTTCCCTATTTCGTTCGTTCTGTTGCCTTATCAGTAAATAAGGATCGTATTTGTCTTTTTATTTTTCTGACGATTTACAGACAACACCTCATTACTCTCTTCATCTGACTATATTCAGTATTTTCCAGCTTTTTCCCATCTCACATAGTTATTACTTAGATCATATCGAGTATCGCGAACCCTCTGACATCATCTTTGACTATGTGCTATTTCACTTTCCTTTCCACACAGATCGCTGAAAACACGCAATTCATCACTTCAGAACACCTCTATCGCTTAGTTGATCGTTCCTCTTTTCACATCCATTTCGAATGAAGACGTTCTTTCCTACGTTTCTCCGTTAAATCAGCGCGTTTCCTCCCTTCTTTCACACCAAATCTACGCAAACACCATCGTTCCGCTTCTTTTCTTCCGCGTTCGCTTCCCCTTTGCGTCTCATCTAGATGGGCTCCGCGGGAATATGCCGGATTTCGCGGGCGGAAATGAAAGCAAGCGATTTTTCGCGGCAACTTTTTCTTGTGGCTGAGCAAAACGAGCAGAGCGAAGCCGAGCCTGTTTTCTGTTTTTTTGAACAAATCAATCGCAGGGGTATCGTTGGTTTAGTTTCGAAAGCGCCTTCGTGTTGTGGCGGTTGTTCTGCGAGTTGGATAGCGACAATGACGGGTTATTAAACAAAAACGACTTACGGCACTATGGAGATGTGTGTCTCACGTAGGCTTTGTGTTCGATAGTCGAGCGAGTAGCGAGTTGACGCTGGATTGTGTGATGGAGGGACGGGGTCGAGGGAAGTTCTGCAAGGATCGCGAAGAAATCGGGTATGAGGAGTTCGTCTGTAGAATGAAATAATGAGGAACTGAGATGCAGATTTGGTGCTTGCTGATGAAAACAAACGAAGTCCGGAAGCAGTGCGCTACTGGTTCAATATTTTGGATCTTGAATTCTCCGGAGAAATCTCGTTAAGCACGATTTACGCGTTCTATGCTTCGCAAGTAGTCGAATCAGCGTTTTGTTTCTTGCTAGAAATCGCGGTTGGAGGAGTATGGCATTCCCTCTCTTCCCTTTCCGCTCTATCTGCAGACGCTGTGCGATGCATTGGAGAGGTGTTGAGTGTAGACAAAACTTGCTGGGGACGCAGGAAATGCGATTTTCGTTCGCCGATTTTGTGCCGTCCGAGTGGGAAATCCGACTGCCCGTCGTTTTCCAGGTGGTGGCGCTGAATTTGTTCGTGAACACGGTGAAATATCTGGAGTTCGAGCATCGCGAGCTGGTGGCCGACTTCGACTTCGATGAGAACAATCCGTATTGGACGTAAGCCGAAGGGGAAAGCTGCGAGGTAGGGATTGGAACATGTTTCTAGTAAACAAATACAAGCAAATCAAGGCGAAGAGCGATCATCTGACTCGCGCCGAGCAGATTCGTCAGATCCAAGAAGCAAAAGAGGAAGACGACGAATCTGCCACCGAGTATTTGGATCTCCAAGAGATCTTCAATGAATAACCAACGCTTCTGTTTGAGAACAAACACACCACAGATAGCCTTGCAATGAAACGGGAAGCTTCGCCGGTACTTGGATCCCCTGCTTCACCTTCTACACGCTCACTCTCTCTCTCCACACGCACTTGCGCCATGAAGAACGCCACGGCGAACTGATTCGCGTTGACCGGGTACATCGCGCCCTTCGTCACCAGTCTCACGCTACCCGTCATTCCACGTTTCCACGTTTACATCTGCTCGATCTCTCCATCGCGCAGACTGATCGACCGGAAAAACGCCTTCGTGCTCACCTCGCTCAGCGTCGCGTTCTCGCGCGCCTGGCTCGCGAACACGCGCTTCCCCGTCTCCAAATCGCTCTGCGCCATCTCCCAATTCCGGCTCGGCTCCTCCAACGACGAAATACTGATCGCATCCGACGAATCGGAGGACGAATCCGACGACGTTTCAGGGGTTTCGGTGGGCGTTTCAGGGGTTTCGGTGGGCGTTTCAGGGGTTTCGGTGGGCGTTTCAGGGGTTTCGATGGGCGTTTCAGGAGATTCGGTGGGCGTTTCAGGAGATTCGGTGGGCTCGGGGTCTTTGAGGAATTCGCGAAGTTCTGCAGGGAGGAAGGTGGAAATGTTGGCTCCCTTGTTGTATTTCTATGCCTCAAATCCGCCCTTCGCGGCCACCTGCGCCATAAATACGCCCACCATCAATTGCTTCTTCGAGAACTCGGACGTTTCACCGATCACCAGTTTCGTTCTACATTCTCACTCTTCTCTCTTCGGTTTTTACATCTGTCGAGCCACCGCCGGCTTCTTACACACTTTCTGGATGGCTTCGCGGCCCGTTTTGGCGGGGATTTTGGCTTCCCCCGCGCTGACGCTGCTCCAGATCGATTCCAACTCGTCGATTTTCTTCTCGTTCAGCTCCCAGACGCTTCGCACCGGCGCGGCGGGCAGCATGACTTTGAGGGGATGCGGCAGACGCTTGGGCAACGGAATGCCCTGCTGGAATTTCTGGAGAATGAACATGCTGACCGCGAAGAACGGGAAGGAAATCGACGTCATTCCCGGACAAACCAAGTCGATTCTGCGCGTCACGCTCTTTCTTCCCTCTGCCTACACTTGCTGCACCGTCTCGTCGCTCACTCCCGCGTTTCGGAACGTCTCTCGCAGCGTCGACACGCTCATCTCCTTCGCCTCTCCCGCATACCGCGGGAATACCTCGGTCTCCAGTTTCCGCCGCGTCTCTTCGGGCATTTTCCAGCTGGGTCTCGCAGGTCCTGCGCTCTGCGGCGATTTCTCCTTCGGCGATTTCTCCTTCGGCGATTTCTTGGCTTTCGAGGACGTTTTCTCGGCGATGGACGTGGTGGTGCGGCCTTTGCGCGCGAAGGCGTTGGCCATGAGAGCGGGTTTGGGACTTCCCAATCCATCCGACTCGCTGGAGGAAGAAGAAGAAGAAGATTCGCTGTAGTCGTTGTAATCACTGTAATCGCTGTAGTCACTCGAAGCCGATTCGCTGTAATCGCTGTAGTCGCTCGCTCGCTCAGATCGCGAGCTATAATCGCTCGACGATTCACTCTCTGAAGACGAAGACGAAGAAGAAGACGAAGAAGAAAATTCGTAGAAGCGATCGATTTGGTCTTGCAGAACGGCAGGGAGTTCCTGAGGAAGCAGTCGGCCATTCACGACCTTCTTACAAAGAAACATCGCCACACAGAACTCGACTCCTTTCACCTTCGATTCGTTTTCAATGGGCACCATGTGCAATCTACGATCCATTTCGCCCTCCATTCACTCAAACATCACGTCAATCGACGCGTCGTCCGCGCCCCAATCCGCCATTTCCGCGCGCAGCGTCTCCAAATCCACGTCGCCCAGCTCGTAATACAGCCGTGTGAATTCCTTCTCGTCCTCCATCGTCATCTGCCACTCCTGGTCCACCGGCTCGCTCGGTTCTTCCGCTCGACGATGTCTGTGCGCTCGACTTCGCGACTTCGACGGCGTCGGCGATTTCTCCGCGCTTTTCGATGCCATCGCCGCTCTCTCCTTCGCTTTCTGCTCCGCTGCCGCTTGCAGAGCTGCTCGGCGCTGCTGCATGGCGTCGATGCGCGCTTGGCGACGCGCGCGCAGCTCCGAAAACTCTTCGAGCTGCTGCTGGAGCTGCGCGATCGTCTCGGTTTGCTGCTGAAGTTCGCTTTGCTGCTGCGCAATCAGCGCGTCTTTCGCGGCCAGCTGCTGCTGCAACTCCGCGGAGAGCGCACGCTCCTTCTCGAGAGACTCGGAGAGCTTCTGGAGCTGGGCGGTGGCTTCTTGGAGCTTCGCGTTGGCCGCTTCGTTGGGATCGGGAATGAGCTCCAGAGAGACGGCGTCGTTGTGCGAGATGCCGCAGTCCGAAATGATGCTCGAAGGGTCAACAACGTTTCCAGCAATATGAATTTCAAAGCGCGCATTATCAATCTCTTTGAACGACTCACTACAAACCTGCCCGTCATGTCGAATAGCATTTGCAATACCTCCTTGTATTTGCGGATAATTTCCTCTGCTTCCTTGCGGTAATCGACAACAATTTCATGCTGCTCCTCTTCGCAGGTAACAATTATCATGATGTTCGGATTGTCGTAGTAGAGAGTGATGTGAGAGTGATACGTTACAGAATAAGAAAGAAGAGTTTGGTCATCGACTAACTCTTCCTCTCCAATGTACAGCTGGATGTATTCTTCTTCGATCGACAGATTGTTCTACGCCAAAAGACCACTCCACTGTGCCAAACAGCAATTTCCTTTTTGTTTTCCTTCACCGTCTTATCAGGCCGAATTAGAACTGGATACTCATCTCCAAAATAATCAATTAGCACTTCCATGGTTCAGATTCAATAAGATTGTAGCAAATTAGAAAATCTTTCCTTTTTGCCTTTATTCGGTTTTGTCCAGGTTTGTTTCTGATACTCTTTCTTTGAGATGCAAGGACGAAAGTAGAGGATATGAGACGGTGAGCGGAGCGCTCCCAGAGATGATTGTTCCTTACTCAACTGAGCTCTCTCTGTTGGAGTTTCTGTGTGTCCATTCTAACGGGCGTGTAGAACAAACAATGCAGGCATGACGCAAAACGTGGAAGAAGTCGTTGATCACGGGAAGTTTGCTGTTCACTGCTTTGCGAATTTCCTTCTCAATCCACTGTTCTGCCTCCTCCTCACTCACTACAAATTTAGCGGAATTCGAAATTCTCTACTTTCCAAGTGGCATGAATCTAAGAAGAACTGCGTATCTTGGTCGGAGTCAATCTCATCAATTCCACTGTCTCGTAGCAGCTCAAACAACGCATAGAACAGCGTGTGGTTTCTCCGAATAACGCGATAGCATCCGAGCGCGTTTTCCAAGAAGCACTTGAAGTTTGGGTGCGTTTCACCTCCTAGCACATTGAAATACGCCTTGGTAAAGAGGAAGGAATGCGTTTCTCTCTTAATGCCCATCTTCGACTTGTAATGTCCCAGAATATGTCCGAAATCGATATGGAAATATCCGTTCTGATTCAGCATGATATTGTCGTTATGTCGATCCCCAATCCCTGCGAGATACACGAACATCATGTACTGCCCCAGCGAAGCAGCGAACCGCTCGCTCATCTCTTCAATACTGTCTCGCAGAGATTCGTTTCGCTTCTTCGCTTTGAGAATGCGCGGTGTATCGAGGCGGAGCAGTTGTTCTTGTCGTTCTCGTTCAAGCTGAAGAGATTGATTCCTCACTGCGGAGTTGGTGATGAGATATTCTTGAATCGCGAAGTTGTGAAGCAGAACGCGCTTCGCTGTATTGATTTTATTCAGCAGCCTGTGCGTTTCTAGAGAGAGAAAAGGAACAACCAACACGCACTGATCTCCTCATTCATCGCCGACGCCGCGATACTATTCGCGTCGTTGTACACATCACCGATCGTAATCGAGTTCGGAACGATTTCGATCAGACCTTCGTCTTCGCTGGTACTCAAACAGGCGTAGCATTGAAAGAGGTTTCGAAGTCCATTCTCCTCCAGAAGCCTTCCTAAGATCTTCATCACGCCCATGATGAGCTGGTCTTTTCGCAGATCATCGCCCTTCTTCACCAGAACGCTCATTTCGCCCAACCCAGACACCCTACATATGAGAGTAGAATGATCGTCCACACATCGTTCCACCAATGATACTGCTTAACTGCTGGTGCTGATTCACCACAAACGATAGACTGAGAGGAAGCTTTTTGCTCCCCATCACTCGGCATTTGGTCCAATTAATGGCAGCCAATTCGAGTTTGGAGTAGAGTGGAAGCGAGAAAGGAACGGATAAAACGACGGAATGGAGTTGAGAAAGGAGCGAAGTCTGCGATTGAGGAGTGAATGGATTGCTACGTTGCGGTCCTTCGCATTGCTGATTAGCTTCACTTGCTCAGCAATGCTCATCAGTTGTTTCACCAACAAGTACTCCGAACCGACTTTGATTTTGAGTGTTTTGGTTACGGATAATAGAATTTGAAGGTATTTCTGGAATCTCTGTTGAAACCACGGATAGGCACTATTCGACTAGAACTCAAAGCCTTCAATCAATTGTGTACTTGCAGTTGCCAATAGAGAACATAAGCAAAATCTTCAAATTCGATCGCCTGGCGAAGGAGAAGCCGTATCAACGCGTTGTTATCAAACACTTCCCACTTTGTAGCTTGCAGAAGCTGCGAAGCGTAGAGAATGTATTCCTCGTGGCTGAGAATCGCGTCCAACTCTCGCACGACGATCTCACGCATGATCACATCGCAGTTGGTTCTTCCTAAGAGGAGTAAGAGATGGCCGACGACTTGGTGGTGATGCAGATTTCCTTCTTCCAATTCGTTGATGGAATTTTGGTATTGCGAAGTGAGAGTTTGAGGGAAGAATGAATAGATGCGATTCAGAGAGGAAGGGTTCAGATACTAGAAGATAAAAAAAGGAGTGTTGCAGAGAATGTACATCGATCGATTGACAAAGGAATAGCGATAGATAGGGACTTTTGCAGAAGGCTCCATACTTGATCAGCAGCGATTTCTCTCCATCGGAGAGTGAAGACCTACATGAAATGAATTCATACCTTGCCTACTGAATCGGATATTTTGCGATTCGTTCCAGTGCTTGCAGATCGCTCGATTTCTCCACGCTCTTTTCTGGCTCACGCAGCAAATAGGCATATCGAACTCGTTTTTCGCGTCTTTTCATCTCGATAATGACCGATCCAATGGAATCTGCGTGCTCATAAAAGGATGGAATGTTCCAATTGAATTGGCTCTCTTCAAAGAGGATAATTTCTTGCTGTCCTTCAATCAAATAGCCCTTTGCTTGACCCAAAACGATTCCTTTACCTCTTCGTCGTAGATTGGAATAACACCAATCGCAGTAGAGCCGCCGATACAAAGTTTGACATAGAGCATCGAATTGAGGTTGGTTCGATTGATACGGATATTGGTGGTTACAAGCCTATTTTGATCACACATATATATGGAATGGATGATACCGGTTGCACACTTCGGCGAGATTCTTTGAGATCGACAGGTAATCTCCGCTGGAAATGGGTATTTCTTTATAATCGGAAGTACAAACCTCCTTCTGGAAAGACGCAAACTTTATCAGATTGCGCGTATAGAGAAGCTGCGTGTTTGCATTCTTGAACAGAGTTATGGACTGAATCGTGAAGGTTAGCCGATCTTCATCTGCGAGATCGAACATAAAACAGGAGGGCGGAGTCACTAGCAGCTACCAAATTAGTTTCTAAATCCAAGAATACTCGGGTGAAATACGAAAGCGACGTCCCTATGGAGTTCAGCACATTGCGTTCATTTTCAGAAAAGGAAGATACAGTCGCAGATACAGTTTTGCGAGTTACATACAGGACTCCAAAGAGTTGCTCGGAGTGGTACAACGGGACATTCAAACAATCAAATATGACTTCACCCCCACTGTCATTCATAATAACGAAATAGTCCTTGAGCAAGGGATTACGAATATTGACCGTGATGTCCGCTCCTTCCATGCACTATTTGTCACCACTGATCAATGAATGTACAATTTGCTCCATGTCTTCATTTCCCTTCGTGATAAACAGCTTCACTCCATCCAGCTTCATTTCTTCCAGGATCGTTTTACATACATGGCTGGTACACGATTGTTCTCTCCGATTATCAAACAATGCGTCTAGAACACGGATACTCACCTGATACCACTCTGCCGAGATCATGTATTGGTCTCGAATTGCTTCCACTCTCTCCGCATACTCAGTCAAATTCGTTGAAACTTGTTTGAGGGTTTGCGGCTTTCTCGGCATATCATACAGCGCATCTCCCATGGGAGCTTCGACATTCAGGGAAGAGATAAACAGCGAAATGTCCTTGTGCTCGTTCTCCGCTTCGTTTCCCAACGAAATGACGGACATGTAATCTGACTGGGAAAGGCTGACTGCCAGTCCATCGGTCAGAGAGAACAGAGAACAAGTAGCGAACTGAGGAACTATTAGAAAAGAGGATCCATAGACAGATCCAGAGGTCAATGAGCCATAGGGGTAATCTAGATGAGAAATGGGACAATGAGAGATACATTGGTTATCCAGTGTACCAAACTTGATTTTCTGAATGGTGCCTCGAATGATAATGATGAGACGATCCACAAACTCCTCCTCCTTGATTAAAATACTACATTAAACCGATGTTTAAACAGTACTCGTGTTTTTGGAAAGGAATTGGATTAAGAAGGCTTAGCAGCTGACTGACTTGATACGAACTGAGGTTTTGAAAGCACGAAAGGGTTTGGAGAAAACTTAAAAAGGCCTCGTCTAATTGTAAATCCTTTTTGGTAATCATAACCATTTTTGAAATCATCCGAAAACGCCAACTCGTTTTCTTTTGTAATGCCACGTTGACTATAGCTGGATTCAAACAATGTAGCCTTACGATTGCCCTTCTGTCAAAATACTCTTACAGGTTCCACTTAGTAATGCGTTATAGAGGGCAGGAGGCAAATTTGCCTCAGTTCGGTCATTACTATTCAGTTTTTCGAATGCTTGGTTCTGAACTTCATTCAATTCTAGCATTAAAATACCAGGATAATAGGAAGTCGTGCTCGTTGTGATCGAGGAATCGCTTTCTCAATATCTAGAAGCAGAGGCTTTCTTCCAGGGTATTTAGCGCAACGCTTTGCAAACTCCAGTATGAACTGGTCATCAGTTAATTGACCTTCACTGTTATCATCTGCTTCCATAATTTCGTCTAATTCTTGATCGTAAGACAGGCTACACGAAAGATCGGTTCCCGAGTTCAAACTATTTCGGATCCCTTGAGACATCTGACTGTTGGATCGATCCTCGGTCCCAATGAACCCAGATTCCACTGCATAGAGGTTAGCTGCTCTCAACTGTTGACTTAGTTCAGAAACGCTCGAGTTGTTAGATAGACGATTACGACTCAAGCGTGTGGTTTCTTGAAGACTTGTCCGATAGGAATTAGATCGGAGTGCTACCGAAACAGAATCACTCATGTATCAAACAATAACTGCTGAAATCCTGAAAAACGAAATGGCTATTCTGATTGGGTAAAACTCTCCTGATTCCATAAAGCAATGCAGCTGTACTTGAAGCCTATTTTGTGCTTGTGCAATGTTGTAGCACCCAGGATAGGACCACCTTCGAGCAGAAACAAAAATGATTCCCAACAAACACTTTGACTAATAAGACGGGTATTCATGGCAAGAAACATGAACAGAGAATCGAATTTTTCTGTCCCTACTCGTTTGCTCGGTACACAGAGGAATGGGGTGAAGCCGTATTCCTGAAGCGCTATAGTGAAGCTTGCTTGTTTTTGCGATTTGTTTCCGGTAATTCTTCAAATTTCGATACTGGTCACTCTTTTTGTTTCCAGACAAAAACTTCATGTAGTGGGTAGAATCTGCGGGAAATGAAACACCCGGAGGCTGAACCTCCTCCGCTGATTCTGCTCCTTCCAGCTGCGAATCTGCGATATATCGTTCCTGCGGATTAGACGGGAAAACGATAAAAAAAGCTACTTTGCTGTCCTCTTTCATCTTTTTGGAGCGAGGAGTCACTTTCTCGTTGATGTTGAGCCACATTCGAACGAGATGATCGCGTGTAGTGCGGTAGGTCTTCATAACGGAAGATAACATATCGTCATCACGGTGGATTTCCCTAGGCGACGGCAAGGGCGAAGATGGGGAAAAGGGAGACATGGAGGGTTCTGGAGAAGAAAGAGAGAAAGAAGTTCCTTCAGAAGACGAAAAGAATCTCCGCTTTGATCTTGACTTTCTGCGTGTAGTGGGTGCAATCGTTTCTAAGTCATCATGCGAATACTTGGGAGTGGAGTCAAAGAATCTCCCTGAAAGAGAAGCTACAAGTGGAAAATGTTCACCAATTTCGTAGACTATTTTTGGAATTCCCATTTCCTCTTGAAATTGGGAAGGCATCATATTTTTGCTTAGATATGTGAAAAGGGACTTATATTCCAGAGAAAACTTGTACTCTTTCAGCTCGTAATATTTGTCAATACTAAAGCCACGTCCGATAAAACGAAGGGATTTCACCCAAACATCTTGCACTTTCAGTTTAAAAGACCCAGTCAAGTAGAACAGCGTTGTCATCGATTTGTTTACTTTTGTCACAATGGCAAGATCCGTAGTTGGCTACAAATAGAGGTGATAATGAGCAAAGAAAACCTTTCCATTAGTACTGAGAAGAGCGACTAGATCATTTTCCATAACAGGAATGCGATTCTTGTGATGAGCTAAAACATAAATTAAAAATTAAATTGTTACATTCATGCGCAATAGACAGAATGGACTTTCGGCTAAAGTCCAGCAATGAACCATTTTCGCTTAGACAAAAGATCTGCGAAATAGTACAAAAATCAACGGTGGAAGTGATTACTTCGTCCTATGAATAGATAACAAAGAATAACGAAAACCGTTCCGCACTGTAGCTCAACCGTGTCTCCTTTTCCACAGAACACCTCGTAATAATTATCGATATCGCTATAAAGCGCTTGTTGCATTCAGATATTTAATCTTAATACAACTGGCAAAAGGAAATGTCGCCGCCATATTGGATGGAAAACCGTGGAAGTGGATCATTTGTAAATACAAGCGAACTTCTAAATAACGAGTCACTTTATTGCCTAGAAGGATGGAAAATAAAGTTGTAAAGATTAAAATCAGTGGGGCGGGACTCACTGAAGCTAATACTGAATTTGTTGCAAGTGGAAAACGGTTTGTTCTTTTTGCAGTTGAGCATAATGTGATAGTGATGGAGTAAGTAGATGGGAGAGTGAAAATGGTTATGAGATGTTCCGCTTTAACGTTCCAGGAAAGGGTATTTCTTTGTGTAATAGAGTGACCATAAGGAAAGAGTTCTGGAAGGAGATGGTTCTTGGGAAAGATCTCAGCCAAAGCTTCATACTATATTAGAAATGGATCTGAGATTCCTCCTCAAGATGGATGGAATGTAGTAGGATACTGATAGTTAACAGCGTAGTGTCACCCTACAGGAACGCCTCCACCACCTCATTTAGATTACATTTATGAGAATGATCTGCAAAATACTGCACCTAGTGAGGCTGTAGATGAGAAAGCTGAAGCTGAGAGAATTGCGGCTGAGAAGGCTGAAGCTGAGAGAATTGCAGCTGAAAAAGCTGAAGCTGAGAGATTAGAAGCTGAGCGAATTGCAGCTGAGAAGGCTGAAGCTGAGCGATTAGAGGCTGAACGAATTGCTGCTGAAAAAGCTGAAGCTGAGCGATTAGAAGCTGAGCGAATTGCAGCTGAGAAAGCTGAAGCTGAGCGATTAGAAGCTGAGAGAATTGCAGCTGAGAAGGCTGAGGCTGAACGATTAGAAGCTGAGAGAATTGCAGCTGAAAAAGCTGAAGCTGAGCGAATTGCAGCTGAAAAAGCTGAGGCCGAGAGATTAGAAGCTGAGAGAATTGCTGCTGAAAAAGCTGAAGCTGAGAGAATTGCTGCTGAGAAGGCTGAGGCTGAACGAATTGCTGCTGAGAAGGCTGAAGCTGAGCGATTAGAGGCTGAGAGAATTGCAGCTGAAAAAGCTGAGGCTGAACGATTAGAAGCTGAGCGAATTGCAGCTGAGAAAGCTGAGGCTGAACGATTAGAGGCTGAGAGAATTGCAGCTGAGAAAGCTGAAGCTGAGCGATTAGAGGCTGAGAGAATTGCAGCTGAGAAGGCTGAAGCTGAGCGAATTGCTGCTGAGAAGGCTGAAGCTGAGAGAATTGCTGCTGAAAAAGCTGAGGCTGAGAGAATTGCAGCTGAGAAGGCTGAGGCTGAACGATTAGAAGCTGAGCGAATTGCAGCTGAAAAAGCTGAGGCTGAGCGAATTGCAGCTGAGAAGGCTGAAGCTGAGAGAATTGCTGCTGAGAAGGCTGAAGCTGAGAGAATTGCTGCTGAGAAGGCTGAAGCTGAGCGATTAGAGGCTGAGAGAATTGCTGCTGAAAAAGCTGAAGCTGAACGAATTGCTGCTGAGAAGGCTGAGGCTGAACGAATTGCTGCTGAGAAGGCTGAAGCTGAGCGATTAGAGGCTGAGAGAATTGCTGCTGAAAAAGCTGAAGCTGAACGAATTGCTGCTGAGAAGGCTGAGGCTGAACGAATTGCTGCTGAGAAGGCTGAAGCTGAGCGATTAGAGGCTGAGAGAATTGCAGCTGAGAAGGCTGAAGCTGAGCGATTAGAGGCTGAGAAGGCTGAAGCTGAGCGAATTGCTGCTGAAAAAGCTGAGGCTGAGCGAATTGCGGCTGAGAAGGCTGAAGCTGAACGAATTGCAGCTGAGAAGGCTGAAGCTGAACGAATTGCAGCTGAGAAAGCTGAGGCTGAGAGAATTGCAGCTGAAAAAGCTGAGGCTGAGAAAGTTCCAGCGATCGTGGAGGGATCGGCGCTTGACCGTCTCCTGAAATCCACTCCTGCGATCCCCATCAACACAGAAGCTGAGCCTCCAGTTGCGGGGGAAGAGATCCTGAGTCCCTCGCAGCAAATGCTGATCATGGGCATTCTGAGCAGTACAATCAGCAGCTGCGAAGCCTCGCCTGACATTGTGTACCACACTTCTCTCCACCGCGAATTCAATCAGAAGGGAGAAACCCACGTAGAGGATTGGAATGTGGATATCGCCTACAACCGATTCAAAGCGCTCTCCGAATACCTCGCCCACTTCTACAAAATCGCCCTCCCCAAGCTTCCTTCCGCTCCCAAACGAAACGCTAACGCCGAGAAGCTCAAAGCAGCCGCTGCGGCTATGAATGAATACCTCCAGAACGTGCTGACGCTGCGAAATGGCGGCCTGATCGACGGCTGCTTCAGCGATGGCTCGGTGGAGCCGGAAGTCGCGCTAACGACCGACGTTCTGCAGCTCGTTCTGCGCGGATACGGCATTCACAACCCGCTGGGACAGCGCCAGGGCGGCGTGCGCGTGAAATTGGAGCTCACCGAAACCATTTTCAATTCCTACATGAGCGAAGAGTGCCGATTGGCGCTTCAGAACGACTGCTGCGCAGACTGCGGCGTGCGGATCGGCGAGAAACGTGCCCCACACTGATCGATTTGAAGTGTAGATAATTTCTTAAAGAAGGACTACCGATACTGCGAGTACAGCCATTACTACTATTGTTTGAATTGCCATACAAAACGAACCATGATGATTCCTTCCCGAATGGTTCGTCAGTGGGACTTCAAGCAATATCCGGTGGCCAATGTCTGCGCTGACTATCTAAGCAACATCTACGAACAGCCAGTGATTTGTATCAGCGCGCTGGATCCGGTGTTGGTCGAAAAGAACCCTCTACTGACCCGTTTGCGATCGTTGCGGACGGTTCTGAGCTACATGTACGACTATATCAAAGTGTGCAAGCAGATGAACGATCTGCTTCGTCTGCTGGAGCCGCGATTGTACTTGATGACGGGCACGGAGATGCTGTCTATCAAAGATTTTGAGGATGTAAGAGGAGCCGATTTGGGTTTGATGTCTAGTTGAAGAATAACAAGCTGATTCCTTGGTTGGAATCGGTTATTGCGAGCTACACAAAACACATTACACACGATTGTGAGGTAGGAAATCGAATGCAGGTCTATTGTAGCTCTGCCGAGCGAAGGGATTTTTCTGCGAGATCTGTGGAAAGGGGCCGGAGATCTTCCCGTTTCAGTTTGAGACCACAAAGATCTGCCGACGCTGCAACGTAGAGACGAAGGAGGAGGAGTGAGCGGTAGAGCGTGTACCACAAGCAGTGCTTCACATCGATGGAGAATTGCCCGAAGTGCAAGCGAATTCATCAGCGAACACTGAAGGCGGACAAAGAGGAGGGACGACTCACAGAGAACTTGGTGGAAGAGGAGCGACATCAGCCCACGTTGAAGACGCTGAATGCTTAAAGAGAAGGGATGGGTGAATGAATGAGTGAACAAATTGTTTGTGAGAAAACAGAACAAACCGTTTTGAATTTGTTACGATACTCTTCCAGCATTCCCAAACGACTCCACATCGCGCGATTCCGTCGCTCCATGAAGTCTGCAACGACGGGGAACAAAATGCACACATGGGGAAGCAGGGAGTAGCCGAAGTTCTCTTGTCTCCACCTCAACTGGCACAAAAAGATCCAGAATATGTGGAAAGCGACTGGAAGCAGCACGGAGCTGTAGAAACAGATTCGAAGCCATGGCCATAGCGTATACATTACCTACATTCAAGAAGAACGACTCGTTTACAGTAAGGGTACAAACAACAAAGCACAGAGCGAGATGGGGAGACGCAATCATAGGGTCATATCTTCCAATCGTCATGATTCGTACGACATTCGGCATGATACCCCAAGGCTCCTGCGTAATCCCATAGAGACATGCAATGCCGACAAATCCAACGATTGCAGAATAAAGATACTAAGAAAGAAGTGAAAACAACCAAGGCGTACTCTCCATATCGTTCTTTGCTTTATTAAATCATCTCGCATATATTCTAACAATTTTTCCTGCTCTACGATCAAAAAGGAATACCGATAGTACCATCCAAATTCAGCTCTTCGTCTCGATCGAGCTTGCTGAACAGAACATTTCTGTTTCGAACTTGGTCGCTCATTGTGCCCCACTATGCAGAAATCGGGAGATGACCCAATTAAAAGATGACCCCAAATCGACCGAAAAATACTAGATACAATCATAGTAATATTACATTCGGGTCAAATTACCACCATTCAGATTTGGATGTTTTATTCCAAAAAATCTATACATAGGCGATGTCTGTACCATCCAACTTGTCAAAAGAGTTTGTGGATTTCGTAAAAGCTATCGGAGATAGCAAGTCCAAACAAGAGGAAGATGGAATTGTGGTGAATGAAATGTCTAAGCTGAAGAAGAGAATCATGGATACAAAGTGCGATAACGTAGGATTGAATGGATTTGACTTATGGATAGCGTACAACCAAGGAGAATATGTTGTATATGATCTACTGTGAAATGCTTGGTCATGACTGCTCCTTCGGATATATCAAGTGCATTGAGGTAGTTTCTGTAGAAGGGGTCGATGTGTAGCTGTCTGCAAATCCTAACGTCTACCTGAAGAAGGTTGGATACCTGACTGCTTCTTGCTGCATTGGACCCGAGCATGAGTTCCGTTTCATGGTCATTAACATGCTCCAGAAGGTAGCCATTGGAATCGTACCGTCTGAGCGATAGGATATGTCCTCGAACGACCACGTGGAGGTCGCGAACGCTCTGATCGCCACCTCGATGCTCATCACCAAGGAGATGATTCCCGCTGTGATCAGTCCTGTGGCGAACCTTCTCCACCACAAGCGAGAGTTCGTTCGTAAGCGAGCGCTGCTTGCCCTGCACCGCTTCTACCAGCTGGACAAGGACAGCATTTCGCATCTGACGGACGACATCTGCAAGCTTCTGTGCGATTCGGATCCCGCGGTGATGACCGCTTCGGTTGTCCTGCTCGACGACATGTGCAAGGACGATCCCAATATCGGCAAGAACCTGGTGCCCTCGCTGGTGAGCATCCTGAAGCAGATCGTGGAGCACCGTCTCCCGCGCGATTACGACTACCACAACGTGCCCGCGCCGTGGGTGCAGATCAAGATCGTGCATCTGCTGTCGCACCTGGGCTACGGAGACCAGACGAACTCGGAGAAGATGTACCAGGTGATCGCGTCGACGATGTCCGCTGCAGACGCGGGCACGGCGATCGGCCACGCCATCACGTACGAGTGCATTCGCTGCGTGGTGCACATCTACCCGAACCAGGAACTGCTGGACTCGGCGAGCAAGGCCACTGCGTTCTTCATCAACAACCCGCTGCCGAACCTGAAGTATCTGGGTCTGATGGCTCTGGGCGAGATGGTGAAGGAGAACCCCACGGTGGCGGCCAAGCACCAGATGGCCGTGATGAACTGCCTGCAGAGCGACGATGAGGCGCTGCGCCGCAAGGCGATCGACCTGCTGTTCGCGATCAGCAACGAGAACAACGTGCAGGTGGTGATCGACAAGATGCTGGACTTCCTGAAGACCACCAACGATGAGTACTTCCAGGTGCTCCTGATCAACCGCGTGAACGACCTCGCGGAGCGCTTCGCCCCCAACCCGTCCTGGTACATCAAGACCATCACGCAGCTCTTCCTGGCCGCTGGCGACATGGTGCCCAACAACGTGGCGTCCACCGTCATGAAGCTGCTCGAGGAGGGCCAGGGCGACCCCGATATCGACTACCAGCTGCGCGGCGAGGCCGTGGCCATGTACTTGGAGCTGATGGACGAGCCCAAGCTGCCCGCCGTGTTCGTGCAGGTGCTGGCGTTCGTGCTGGGCCAGTACGGAGACACCGCGGAGGTGGGAATGGAGGAGGTCGTGCGCCGCCTCTGCATTCTGTTCGAGCGTCTGAGCGACGTGGAGACCAAGGGCTACTGCATCAACGCCATCATGAAGAACTGCGGCCGCATGGGCTCGCTGACCGAGGAGGCGGACGCCGTGATGAAGGAGTGCTGCCTGTCCCGCTTCGTGGACCTCCAGCAGCGCGGCCACATGTTCAAGGTCATGATGGAGGGCATGGGTCTGCTCTCCGTCGCCTTCCCCTCCGCCGCCGAGGACGCCGTCTTCGACGCGGACGAGTCGCTCTCCTTCCTGCAGACCTACGTCGACGAGATGCGCATCAACGGCGCTCCGGAGTACAATCCTCCCGAGGACTCCGAGGAGGAGCGCGAGGAAGAGGCCAACACGCTCAAGACCGACGCCTACGCCGCTCCCGAGGTGGCCAAGCCCGACTACGCCGCCTACGACGCCGCTCCCGCCCAGCAGGCCCAGCCCGCCTCCACCGGCTTCTTCGGCGCCCAGCCTGCGCAGCCCGCAGCGCAGCCCGTCCAGCAGCAGCAACAACAACAGCCGAGCGCGGCGGATCTGTTCGGCACCAACAAGGCCGCGGACCTGTTCGGATCGACGAGCGGATTCTTCGGCCCTGCGACGGTCACCACGCCCGCGAAGTCGCCGCACATCCGCACGCCGCAGCCCACGACGCCCAGCAGCAACAGCAACGCGTACGACGTGTTCTCGTCCAGCAACGGCAACATGTTCTTCGGCAACACGCCCGAGCCCGAGCCTGTCCAAGAGCCCGCTCCCGCTGCCGCCGCCAATCCCTTCGATTTCGGCTTCGGCGCGCCTGCGCAGCCCGTCCAGCAGCCCAAGCAGCAGCCCGCTGCCGCTGCGAATCCCTTCGATTTCGGCTTCGGCGCCCCCGCCCAGCCCATGCAGCAGCCTAAACAGCAGCCGGCGCAGGCCAATCCGTTCGACTTTGGCTTCGGCGCCCCTGCGCAGCAGCCCGCCCATCAAAACTTCGGATTCGGAGCCCCTGCTCAGCAGCAGCCCATGCAGCAGAACTTTGGATTCGGAGCTCCCCAGCAGCCCGCTCAACAGAACTTTGGCTTCGGCGCTCCGGCTCAGCAGCCCGCCCAGCAAAACTTTGGATTCGGAGCTCCTGCCCAGCAGCAGCCCGCGCAGCAGAACTTCGGCTTTGGAGCTCCTAGCTCTACGATTGATCCCTTCGCCGGATTTGGCTTTTAATTGCTACGCATGGATTGTTTGTTTGAGAAATGTGTGGAGATTGAGTGAACAAACAGGGAAAATAGAATGATCTTTCTTTCATTAGAAAGAGAACGGCTATGTCTTATCGGTTCGCCCAATGCCGATCCATTCCGAATCCTTGTTGATCACCGTGCCTTGGTTGCAGTACATCACGAAAGCATGGAAGAAAGCAATGGGCGAAGGCACCACGTAATCGAAGGAAATCACCGTCAGCACGCCGTTCCCGTTCATCACGGTCAGTCCATTCCCCACATCCATATTAATCGCCAGCTTCTGCTGCAGACAGGAGTTCCTACGCCTCACACGCCCCTTCCTGTCTCACAAATAGAGAAGCCGAATATGCTGCATGAAGAAGCAGAGCACGCCAGTGAACGAGTCAAACAGAGACGAATACGCCTTTCCGTTCACCGTCACGCCGTCCTGCGACACGCACACGAAATTCGCGATTCCCAGCGTGCTGAACGTCACCGTGATCGTGAAAATATCCTTGCGACGCGAGTACTTCACGGCCAGACGCGAGTTCGTGAGCTCGATGTTCCCGTACACCAGTAAACTCCATGGAAATCGCAACGAATCGCCTACTCGAACTGCAAACTCAGCACGAACACGAAGTATTTCAAAAACAATTTGCGATACAAGAACACGAACTGGCGACACGCGTAAGTCGCCAATCGAAGCAACCGCTTTTTATCGAACGAGTAATCGCCCACGCGAAGAATGTGCTCGTGGTGCTTGTTGATGTACAAATCGGAGTGAAATTGCTCGAGGAGTGAGGTCAAAAACAGCGTGTTAAACGCCTCCAACACTTTCAGCAACGTGCTCGTTCGCTCATCTCTAAAAATCAGCCTGCTTTCTGGAATTCCACTCCGCCCGCAGCAACTCTTCGAGCTTTTCTTCGCTCGTGAGCACGTCATCGGCGTTTTTCAATTCGATTTTGATGCTAAAAACCTTATCGACGGTGAGCAGAACGCTTTCATTTCCCATGGTGATGGTGCAGGGCATCGATCCCTGTTTCAACAACAACAAACAGCCGTCGTGGAGCATTCGGAAGAGCTGTCTGCAGAGAACGGAGTGGTATGTGCAGTTGATGATGTGGAGATTCAATCGTTTGTGTGGATTGGATTGGGCTTCTTCTTCGGAAGGAAGCTTCGAAGCGAACGGAGAGGCGCTCACGCTTTTTGCGTGGAAACTAGAGGAGATGAGACTCGGTGTGGATGTCTACTCGAAGACAGAGTCGTAGGATCGCGAATCATCGATGAGTGTGGTGGTGATCTGAAGATAGGAATAATAGGAGGCGTCGTGTGGTTTCATTTGAACGTGTCCCTGAACGCCAGGGAAGATTCGAAGACATGCGTTGAGATCTTGTTTGTTTTCAAAGCCACAAAAAGCGATAATGGGATCGACGTTTCGGATGTAGGAAAGGTCGGTTCCATGATGAACCACGATGTTTACGAGGCTTCGATAGAACAAAAGATCATCGAAAAAGTTCCGCTCTCTGGACAGGAGACAAGAGAAAGCAGGCATACGATAGAATGAGGTCCTTGACGACTTCGATTTCGCTCGTAAAGACGGAGCTCGCTTCTTGGAAGAGAAGAAAACTGGACTCCAAATTGGCGATCAGCGTTCGATTCTTCTTTTTCATTTCGTCTACCGAGAGCTCTTTGCTAGAGAAGCGAAGGCGCGACATATAATTTGAAGCATTCATGCCTGAAGAATAAACGCTGTTGAGTAAGTCCTGGAAGAGGCGAATTTCACTTCGTGCTTTCACAACTTCGCTTATTAAAAAAGGAACTGGATCTGCTTCTTTTGGAATAGAGAGAGGGCGTTGGACCTCCAAAAAAGGGTGGTGGCTGTGATTTCGACTCTCAAGCTCCTCTTGGCATTATGCATATTTCAGAACTGTACCTTTCCGTTCCTTCTCCCACTTTTCCATATCGATAGCCGAATTCTGCACCTCCTTGAGGAATTCGCGAGGACTACAACAGAACAAACCAATATTTCCGTGTACGGCATCTCTATATCTTCGGGTCCATATTGGTATTGATAAATTGTCTGTGGATCCAAATACTGGAGAAAGACGGAATCTAGAGGAATATCAATAAATCGATGTGTTATTACTCTTCGTCGGGGTAGTTGACTCCGTTTCCATCTACAGAAATATCACTAAAAATGAATAAGAAACGGAGCTCCCATCTAAATGGGACAGGAAATGCAAAACGTGTTTGCAACTTCGATACAAGGCATGGATATGAGATTTTGAAGATGTTGGAGGAGGAGATTGGAATCGTTGAAAGAATTCTATATGTAAGTCGAAATCAGCATCGTGGATGTGTTTACTATAAATCTATGTCAAATGTATCGTTGTTCTCCCATTGTCTAACAAACTAGGTGGTCCGATACTGCAGGAAAGTATCGATCTATGCAAAGGATATTTTGGACAATATAAATACCTATGAATATATTAAATTGTTCAGTTTTGAGAAGTGTGTAATTTCTAGGGCAGATGGGTTGCTGCAGTGTTGTTGCCTTATATATAAAGTAGAGTATTGCATATTTTTTGAATATTTAGGTGGAAACCCAAGGAAAGAAGTGTTGCCAGTGGACTCTGTTGATCTGACTCACATTTAGGAATAATTATAATCAAATCGGCATGAGCTTCTTTGTTTCCCTCTGTTCCATGTTCTTAGCCAGTACGAGCCGCTTAATGGAGCTTTGTCTGCTTCTTTTGCACGAAGTACTTTGTTTCATCTGTTATTCACTCGCAGCTCGTTCCGCTCCATCAGCAAATCCTCATTCTGGGCGACCAATCCCTTCAGCCCTACGTTCTTCCTCCCAGCATCACGCGTCTCCTTCAAGTTGACAGCATTCAAGCCTCCACTTCTAACGAAATGGACATCGAGCCCATCAATGAAGCCGATTTCGCCGTGTGTTCTGTTTGTAACAAACACTCTCACCACGTGTCCATAAAAACAAAAAGTAATATAGTACAAAACACTCCTTCTCTAACTCTTTCTCCACAGCACATACACAATCGATTCACCATCCACTCCGTTTTCATGCAGCGATCGCTTCTCATCCAACTCCCGTTCCCGCGTCACCAGCCGAAACTCCTCCATTCTCCAGTGTTTCTTCGCCTGGATCGCCATCTTCAGCTGATACACCGGCAGCCACGGATCCAATCGTTCCACCCAGCAATCTACGCCTCATGGTGAGCTCCAACTCCCACTTTTCTGCTCTTCGACGGTCAGCATCAATCGCCGCTCCCCGCTAATCGAAGGCACGTGGTCGCTCAGACTCATCGCCACGTGCTGCAGCGGAATCCCGCTCACATAACTCAGATATCCGTTGTACTACACGCAATCGGCTCCACCTCCAAGACACTACCTCGCTTTCCTGGCAGTGTCTGCAATACCCCGGGAACATATCAATGCGATGTCCTTCTCCATCCTTAAAGAAAAACCCGAACAGAGGCGTTTCGAACTCGAAATCGCGCACCAACGCCAGCATTTCCTTCTCGTTGATCAGCTCCACCTTCTGCTCCATCTCCATACACAAATCCTATCGATTACTGCGCGACGACATGCTCACCTGCAGCGGAACCGACGTGTACAGCAGCAAAAACCGGTACATAAACCCGGGCATCACGAAGCCGCGATGCGGACACAGCTGTAACCGCGGGACGATTCGAATCTCGTTATACACCGAGCTCCGCATCACCTCGTTCAGATCTTCTGTCGGACTAATCTGCATCCAATACCGCCATTGCCGAAGCCAATCCGACGGAATGAAGAAATAACACCCGTCTCGGATCACGCTTTCCCCCGAAAAATACCGAATCGACGCCCTACTTTCGACCCTTTCCCCGCGGTTCCTACGCCTGCGGCCGCGTCCATAAATCCCGGATCTCCGGATCGAGCAGCAGACGCTCGCGGCGTTGGCAGGCGCGCAATCCGCTGGTCAGCAGCTCGCTCGGCGCGAAGGATCCGCTGTGAATCCGCCTCCACAGCTCCTCCGCCGTCATCTGCACTCGTGTGGGATCCCACACTTTCGAGGACGTGGGTGGGAAGGACACTGGGTTGACTGGGTTGACTAGATTGACCGGGTTGACTGGGTTGACCGGATTGACCGGGGTAGAGACGATGAAACCGTCGCCGTCGAGCGCACTCATGTTGACTTTGGAGAGAAGATAAGCGGAGTCGCTGAGATTCCCGCGGTTCTGGAGGAACTTGGAGGGAGTGGCGTCTTCGTTGGCGGGAGAAAAGGAATCGGCGGCGTTGGGAGCGGAAGTTTCGCTGATCGATTCGTTGCCCATGGAGGAGAAGTTCGAATAGAAGTCCGCTTTGCGGCACTCCGAACACAGGGGAGTTTCTCTACAAGGAACTCCATACGAAAAGGGGAAACTGGGGAACGGGGATCGAGTCGGGGAAAAGCATGTGGACTTCCTCCCATATTTCCGCGGGGAGAAGGACTTTTTCTTGCTCCGAAAGATCGAGTCGAAGGTTTCGATGTTCCTACGATTGCAATCGATTCTTTCCAATACGCAGAGCAAGGAGCCGGAAGCGTTGAGGGCCTGGTGAAGACACTGCTTCAGCATTCCGAAGGTCATCCTAAAATAGGGACGATTTCTGGAATTCCAACATTGCGGGGTATTTCTGTAAAACGTATTGGCACTTCACCAAATTCTGCAACAAGCGGATGAATGTAAGCGAAACGAAATATTTGCGCTGATAACCTACAAAAAACGAGGCATTTGCGACGTACGGTAATCGGAGGCCGAGCTGGTTCCGTTCAGGTAATGAACGATTTTTTTATGCACTAAACAATTCGGTTCGAAGTTGTGAAGCGCCGATAAGATCGAATAGCGATATCTAAAAATGAACCGATTTCTGGAATTCCACATTTCGACGCATTCTCTGCAATACACGCTTTCTTTGGATTGAACACGAAAGGGAATATTCGGCGCGGCTTTCTGCATCGCC